CGACTCACAAGCCAAGGCCGTGGCTACCCCGGGCCACAAGGCCAAAGTAGCCTGGATGACGATGCCGCGGCGGCCATACACCACAACGGAAGAGCGCGAGACGATTCTTCGTGGCACTTCCAAGCTTGTCCGAAACCTACCGGCGACAGCAGCACTGAGCTCGCTGCCCTTCCACGTGGACTTCACCCCCGACGAGTTGGATGACGTACGGAGAACAGTGCGGGCCATGTGTGACAAGAAGGTTAAGCACAAGCGGAGGGACAATACGGACAGAGAGCTGGGAAAGATGCTGAGAAAGCGGCCCGACTTGCTCACGACTATACCACCTATGATCGAACTGAAGGGAACGCTCGCGCAGCGAGACCACGTTGCGATTCGAAACTTCCTCGACGAGCTGGCGAATCGGCACAAGAGACCGGCCCGGCATCCAAAGGTGCTGACGTTGGAGGTGGACGAGTCCGACAAGCAGGGCGAGGCACAGCGTACCAGTCAGATCTCTACGCTCCTGCTGGCACGGGAAATCGACGGAAATCGAGGTTTCGGCCGGATGCGTCGCCACGTTAACTTCACCAACGAGTTTAGGAAGGCTCATGAAGACGACATGGAGATGCGGGCAGAGTGGGTGGGTTGCGCTGGTGACATTATGACGATTGCCTGGACCTCGGATACGAATTTCATCTGCGGTGCCACGGCTCATTCCGATTCGCACAACCAGCAATATAACAAGGCCGGTAACCTTTTGCTTTGCTCGACGACGTTGGGTCGGCTCAAGGCGTATCCGGATCACAGAGTCCCTCGACCGATTGTCGAGAAGGGCGAGAACTCCACAGAGGCTATGAGAGAGAGTCAGAGCCCGTGGCTCTACTCCTCCGTCGTGTCTTCTGACTATGATCGCAGCAATAAACGTGCCTACACGTCAAGTTTCGACAAGACCGTCAAGGTGTGGAAGGTCGACGACAGAGGAGCAAACATGGAGGCTTTGGGCACCTGGGCACACGCGGGCAACGTCAACTTTGTGGCAGTTTCCAAGCATGAATCTGGCATGGTGGCAACTGCCACTGATGTGTCCACCCAAGCTGTCCGGGTCTACCGCGTTGACAACGACAACATATCTCAGAGCCCATACCAGGTATACACAGGCTCCAGAGCGTGGGATGAAGGAAATGAGGAGACGACAGCGACCCAGAAATGGGCTTACTTCCCAGCAACGATGCAATGGGGCTTAGCCGAAGGCGTGCAGCACTTGCTCCTCGTTGGCTACTCTCCCCGCAGTCTCACAGGAGATGATAACGACATTCCTGATGAGAAGTTGAACACCGGCGAGATCTGTCTTTGGAACTGCCTTACGGGCGAGAAGATCAAGGTCTTGACGGCGTCCACGCAGAACGTCTTTGAGGTGGTTTGGCATCCCAACCTACCGAGCTTCATCGTGGCAACATCGCCGGCTGGGTTGATGGTCGACGACTATACTCTGACGCAGATTCGCATCTTCCGCCCTAGCTTGACACCTGAAGGTGATACAGCCTTTGGCGAGATGCAGTGTCTGGATTGCCCGGCCAAGGATATCAACGAGCTCACCATCAAGCCCAACAGCGTCCTCTGCTCATACGTGACTGCGGCTTGCACCGATGGAAAAGTGTACGTATGGGATACCTCCCGAGGCGACAAGCCTATCCACGCTCTCCGGCATAAGAAGCCGATTGATGAATTCGACGAAAACTTGGGAAAGCGAGAAGACTTGGACGTGGGTGTCAAATTCACGGCGTGGGGGACCACAGCGGACCGCTTCTACACCGGCGGATCAGATGGAGTGGTCAAGGTGTGGAACGTACGCAACTTCCGGCAGCCCCTCGTCCGGGACCTTTTGGAGGCCCCTGGAGCTATAGCATGCGGAGCCTTTTCTCCATGTTACTCGAGGCTTGCTATTGGAGACGCGAGTGGCCGAGTAATGCTCCTCTCGCTGAACAAGGAGGACGAGCCTCCGGCCAAATTCGTCCTACCCCCAATGCCGGCGGGCATGCGACCTCGTCGTCCCGTGCGCCGTCCGATACCTGTCATCGAGCACGCCGATCCCCCGGCACCACATCAGAATAATCAGGACCAAGAGCCCAAGACGGGCGTTGAGAGAGGACGAAGAATGCTCTCTTCCGGCCAGCTCATCCGTCACCCGGACGCCACCGTCGGCGTCATCCAGGGGCCGGCGTATTCCACCCTCGGCCTACACTGCCCCAAATCGCACTTTGAGGGCGACGCGACACAGCCCTTGCTGGCGAAGGTCGAGGAAATTCAGCAGGAGAACCAAAAGATGTTCCGCCGCAGGTCGCTGCGGGTTACCCGTCTCCGGCCGCTGACCGACGTGGGCTCCGTGGCCCTCGAGCGTCGGCATGTGCGCAACGTGTCGAGGGACTTGGATCTGCAGGAGCTTTGCGAGATGACGAAGCTTGATCTGCTCATGGATCAGGTGAATATCGACGACCCTATCTACGATGAGGGGTGGGATTACGAATATGAGGAAGGGGACCTCGAGAAGAGCATTTGGGCTACGCTTTCGGAGTGAAGAAGAAGCGAAAACGCTTCAAAGAAGGGCCGATATCGCCTTTCTAAGATACGAACTTAGTCAGCTTGTGGCCTCTATAAGCTGAAAAGGCCGCTCTTGCCTGTATCAGATACAAGCTTGTCTACTAGCTTATGGGTTTTGTAAGCTGAGAGGGCTCATGTTGCCTCTATCAGACTCGAGCTTGACTAGTTGACGGCCTTTTGAGGCTAAGAGGATGTGAATAATTCTGTTAGATGAATACCAAGACTTACGACATTAAACCGAGATTATATAGAGTGAGATTCAAATTGATATGATATATCCTAATAATAAGCCTGTTACTAATTGATCTAGACTTTAATAGAGGATAGAAGTTATTTTAATAGAAGACCCTTCTAGAATTTAGATGTATTATTCAAACTACCTAAAAAACAGCGACCTCTTTATTTATATAATATAATTTCGGCAAGTAAAGGTTATGCCTAATAGTCATCTCGTAGACGGCCACTATGGACGTTACTATAATATAGTACTCTGATTAAGAATTGAATCACGGTGCCAATATGACATTTGGGGAAGGTCTGGAGGGTAGGACAAACCGAATCCATATGCTGAGGTGGGAGATAATGGCCTTGTCCGCTCTGCTAGCCTCATTCCCGTGTTCACCTACCTGACTGCAGGTTTTGGATCTTACCTCCGCCGCTAATCGAAAGTTAGAAAGAAGCAGTAGCCACCCACTAGCTTCCCTTTGCGGAGCAGTAGTGGACATGGGAAGGGGCTTTCGAAAGCGATTTCATTCCCTATGTAATGCCTCCTCCAGGCCCCTCCCTCTAATCTAAACACGACAAGGGTGTAAACCGAAAAGAGCTAAGTATATAGATCCAAGCATCTACGGCTATAGTATGTATGTGCTGTGTGGTTGTGAGGTGTGTCTACCTAAATCGTAGTGTTCCTTGCTTATCTTAAGGACTATAATCCGTATAAAAAAGCGCAGTCTCTATTCTTCTTCAGTCCCGCTCTCGCTCGCGTAGTATATTCTATGGTGAATATGAAGGAAGTGACGGCATGTTATGAGAGGGCACTGGCTCGATTGAGCAATCGAATGGCCTTGTGATATTGAAGAGCGTACGGCAATATACCCTTTGGCCATACTTTGGTCTCAGGAAATGCTGCCCATATTCTCACGAGCGAGTTATGTCCCGGATCAGGAACAAGTCGCTGCAGAACATGCTACCCTCGAAGCAACAGCGTCATCTATATTTCCCAAGATGAGACAACGGAATTCAAGGGAGGCGCAAAGAATGTCATTTTTAGATAGCTAGCTCCCTGAAGCGGACCAAGAAGAGGTAGCAACAAAGACACCGCATAAGGTAGTAATCTACATTCTACACTCTCTGATAAGTATAACCCAAAAAAACAGTTCACCCCTCCCGGTGCTGAACTAGGGGCTACATCTGTCGGTGCTCATGCTGGGACTCGAACTCGGGAGCCTGTCGTCGAGTAAGGCTGGTTAGCGTTTTGATTACTGAACTATTGACCACTCCACCACCCAGCCAAGTTTGACCTGAGCCGTCGACCTAGACGGGTCGCCTCCTGGATGGTGACGGAGATGGGATTGAGGGGGGGTTATACAGCCTTCTTATGGCGACAATGCGTCACGTGTGGAAGGTATGGTTAGTAAGGAGGGAAGATACAATACGGTACTGTCAAAACCTTTCGGAATCAGGTGTATTGGTAGGGAGGAGGATGATCTAACAAGCTGCCTCTGCTTTATTCTTTTCCTAGCCCATACACAGATTCAAGGGTATCTTTGTCAGTACGTCCATGCACATGAATAGATTGAACATGAGCTATACGTGTTGTGTTCAAGAATTCTGATTCTTGAGCTGCACTTTCTTTGGGGTCAAATGTGACGATTATATCAGTGGGAGAGCACCTTTCTTCATCGCCATCTCGCATAGCCGAGGGGTGTAAGACAGTGCTCTTTTGCGGACTTTGTCCAAATCACCAGGGCATCACAAAGCTTCAATGAACCAGATGTAGACTCAAATATTCCTTTTCTTTTTCCTACGATACAACGGGAGGGTTCGAGTGAAAATCGCCCTACAACCAAGAACCAGTTTACCAAACCCTTGAAGCCCAAAAGCCAGCAAGACTACGATAAGCATCGCAGTACGCGGGGTATCGAAAAAAAAAAACAAAGTCCTGATCCACCCCCCTTTCCTCTCCAAGTGAGCTCAGTTACTTTTGGTGCGGGTATTTCCTTTTCCCCCTTTGATATCCTTGCCCTCCTTCCCCCCATATATGAACGCCGGCCCAATGCACACATCCATGATTATTGCAGGCCAAAAAGCCCAAGCTCGCGAGGGTCCAAAAGGACGTTGAAATGCAGAAGCAAATAAAGTATACCCCCTTCCATATACAACGCTCAGCGGATCCGAGAGGCCGCGGAGGAGAGAAAAACTTAGTTGTCCTTGGCGGCCGGGAACGCGAAGCCGGGAGGGTACGCAGGCATGCCGTTGGGCAAGGTACCGATGCCGTATGGGAACTGCTGCGGGAGCGGCTGAGAGTTGGCCGAAGAGAACTTCTTGTCGTCACGACGCTGGTCACGGTCGCGGTCGCGGCCACGGCGCCAACGACCAAGGTCCTCGCGGCTGTCGTCGCGTCCGCCAGCACGAGTAGAACGAGGTCCGTGGTTGCCGCTCTTGTCGGTCTGCATGCGGCGGCTGATGGCCTTGGAGGAAACACCGTTGCCGATCTCGATATCGGGCTCCTCAACGACCATGCCCTCTTCGATGGGTTTACCGCCACTGCCTCCATACTCGGCAGTCAACATCCACTTGCGATCAGCCTCGGTGAGCTTGCTGATGGGGATGATGCTAACACCCGTACGGTAGTCGCTACAGTCACGCGGACCAAAGCCAACACCCCAGCGGGTCTAGGTTGTGTCAGTCGAGTTACTTGGTAAACACAGGTCTTTGAGACTTACTCTCAGCTGCGACTCATCATCATTCTGCGGCATGTTGCCATTGGCACGCATCTCCATGCCATCCTTGGCACGAACGGCATCCTCACGGGAGACCATCTTGACGAAGGCGTGTCGCTTGTCCTTGTTAACGATGCAAGACTGAACCTGGCCAAATCGAGTAAAGATGGCACGGAGCTCGTGCTCAGACTGGCTATGGAGGCTGTCAGTCGACGTTCCGACGAGTGGAATGCTTCTAGCTATACTTACTTGACACCGCCGACGAATAGCGTGCGGCTCAGAACCTTGATGTGCCCAGGCTTCAGATTACGGTCGTACTCAACCCACTTGGCATCCGAGCCACGGCGCGAGTCACCACGGTCTCCTTGAGAAGCACTGTGGCTTCCATGAGGGCTACGCTGACGATACTCGCTACCATAGCGACCGTCTCTACTGTCATGACGGCCTCGATCGGGGGAGCGATGTCCATAGTCGTAGCCATTGTTGCGGTCGTGAGAAGAACCGCCCGAGTTCCAACGGCGGCCAGGCGATCTGGACCGCGACCGAGTATGTTGATATTTGCTACCATCTCCTCCTGGGTTGCGATTGTAGCGAGACCCCTCGCTGGTGCCAGTGGGCTGAACAGGACCGCCCCATCTCTGACCGCTGCCGTAGTAATTCTGGGCCGCGATGGGGAGTGGAGTAGATGTGGTCGAGGGCGTGGGGAGAGGCGGTCCCGTAGGAGCAGCGCTGTTCTGGTTGCTTGCAGCCGCAAGCGCGGCAACAATTTGCTCCGCGGTGAATCCCGAATTGGCAAACATCTGCATGAGAGCCATTTGCTGACCGTTGACTCCTTGCGGAGGCTGAGGACCAGCTCCTGGGAACGGCAGACCAACAGGAGGAGCCTGGGGCTGGCCTTGGGTATACGCGTACGGAGCCGTCGGGTTAGGGGGGCCACCAGGGAAAGGAGGCACAGAGTACGGAGCCTGAGGGAACTGATTGACGGGAGGAGCTGGAGGCGGCGGCGGCGGCTGCTGCTGCTGCTGCTGCTGCTGTGGCGTGGAGCTCTGGAGTCTAGACAGCAAGTCTTGCAAGTTCTGAGGCACCGCCGGGGTCTGAGTCTGAGCCGGGGCGGGAGGCTGGACGTTACCATGGGCCTGACTGTAATTGTGACCATGGGTGAAGTTCTGGCCATGTCCGTTACTCTGACTCTGACTATTCTGCGGCTGGCCGTAGCCCTGTGTCTGAGGCTGACTCTGGACGGACTGCGTAAGTTTGGCCAGATTGGCGATGATACTGTTGGCATCAGCAGGTCGAGGTTGAGCAGCGGGGGGAACCGCGGATTTGGATCTGTAGCCCATGGCCTCGACCAAGCCTGGTGGGGGACTACCCTCAGGCGTGTAGGACTGAACTGAACGGGCAGAGGAGTCAGCGAATCGTGGAGCTATACTAGCACAAAGGAGGCGATGAAGCCTATTGATCATCTGGCGGGGTGGTGACATACTCGGGTCAGGCGAAGATTCAATCTTCCGCTGAAAATCATCGAGGACGTCAGGAGAGAAAGTGGCTACTCTACGCCATATCTCGAGCAGCTTAAGCAGTTTCTCCTACATAAAGGGCAGCAGTGTAAGTAGATTATTCAACCACATCAATAGAAAGCAAAGAACATATAGACACCATTAAACGTGTCCGAGCGAGTCTCAAGCGTTCACTCTCACATTCTCCGGTAGGAGGTAGATGAAAGGATGAAGGGCGAAAGGCATCCCGGCCCATATCGAAACCGTTATGAGATGTGCAAACACACAAAGTATTGTTGTGGAGGGTGCTTCAAAACTGCAACATTTGATGCGTACCTTTTGGCCTTCGAGGCGCAACTGCACCATGTCACTGATGAGGGTGTGCATGAGACCGGTAATTCGGTGACAACCAGCGCCAAAAGTTCCATCTCTCGCAGTACCATCAACAGGCTGACCAGACACTCTGGCTTGGTCAAGCCACTTGCGCATCACAGAGTCTATCACGTATAGGACTCCAAGCTTGTATGGAGCAGTAAACTTCTTGAACGTGGTATACAGCTTCTGGATGAGAACCGACTCATTCTACAGAGAAAGTTTCGAGGTTAGTCTAGGTACTTGACTAGGCAAGCGAGATGCGATGCTGCGTTCGATATCGTATCGTACCTGAATGTTGTCGACACAGATGGTAGTGATATTAGCAATGCGATTGGCGGTGACACCAGGAGCCTTGTAATTCTGCATGGGTTCGAGGGCGGCTTCTAGCTCCGCCACAGCAGCGGCGGCAGAAGTCGGGGCAGCCATTCTGCAGGGCGCTCGCTGGCAACTAAGATATGGTGATGGCGATTGTGGTGTTTTTCCTCAGGAGTTTGTCTGCGAGCGAAGTACGATTGGGAAAAAGGTAGGTAGTTTGGTTGTGGTGGGCAGGCTCGAGGCAAAACAGACGAAGTGCCAACAGCTAGGGCTTCTTTTTTTTGCTCTTTGCGGCCTGCAAGAAGGGTTGTTCAAGAAGAGGTTTACTGAGAGCGCGGGGAGGTACGCGACGTCCAGGAAGTGGAAGTAGGTAGGTAGGTAGTCAAGAGTAAAAGAGTGCCACGCTCTTTCCTAGAGTAAAATCAGGCAGGTAGGTCCGGCCGCTCCTTCCCTCGATCAACAGCTTTTGTGTGTATTTTGTTTTACAGACCGCGCAGGCAGAAATAAGGTAGGTATCCCAAAATGTCGCGCGACGGCACTGTATCCAGCACTCTAAAGGTACGAATGGATCGAGTTCCTGGATTGGATGACTCTCTACTTTGTACGGACAGAGCGTGCGACGCCTTTCTTGACGAGTCGTCCCAAGGAGGTCACAGAGGAGAATTTTCAAGTGGCAGGAGCCGTCGACGGTCTACTACTTGATTTGATTTCACCCACAGTCGGACTCTTGCGGTCCTCGAAGGCGAAATACGATGTTCGTCAGTGTACGATGATAGTCTCGATGAATACAGTTATCTTATGCCGCCGACGGGATGGGCGTGATGCAGCGTCGCGCTGGAGGATCGTCAGTTTTTCTGAGGGGGAAGGGGGAGTTGTGGTTGGAAAAGAATAGATTCAGAAGTGGGGATGGAATGGAAGCTGGGACACGTTTGGAGACGGCGCTGGAGGCTTGCCGTGTAGCGGGCGGTGGCACATGGCAGGTTTGCGGCCTGCCCATGATTACATACCTTACGGCTTTATTCTTGGAGACCAAAGCACCAATCAAAACCATTGGCATCTTTGTCATCAAGTCATCAAAAGCAGGAGCTCACATCGTTTGCTGAGGTCGGGTGCCCAAGCTTCTTTCTGCCTGAGGCTGAAAGGGAAGCTTCTGAGGCACACCCTTTTTGCTGACTAGCCGATCCTCGAAGCGAGATGATGGTTCCACCGCCGAGGTTCTGCCGCGAAGTAGAAGATGGATCGCACCGGAATGCTGAGGTACCTTAGACACGCTGGTGATGTGCTGGCATAAATAAGTGAGAAAGGCCCATTCGACACAATCGTCTCAATTGTGCCAATATGGAAATAACGGGAGATGCTTTGGGTCCCGGCGCTTGGATTGGCCCAGATTGGCCAGAGCTCCTTTCCACAATGGCGTCGCCGGCCCGGGCATCAACGGGAAGAGCAAAGGTCTTTGTTGTCACGCTCACCCGCAATTATTTCTGCCAGTCTTCATATTGTTCTCATCCACATCCGTATGCGGACAATACCCACCTACTAAATTATCTGGAGAAGGTGTGCTAGTTCCCCGGCAACACAACTCTTTTGATCAGAGCTGAAGTTGCCGGCAGATAGGTGCGAAAATACTTCTTATCAGTTGGATTCAAACTTGAAGCTTGACAGATTCCTTCGCAATCGCTACAGCTTGTCAATAATACCGCACATACGATTATATCAAACTTACGTGATAGCCGGGCTACATGACCACACCATCTGCCATTGCCGTGGACGAACGGAAGCCTCGTTCTATTTCATTTTGTACGGGTACGTGACCGGTATGAACTTCCTCGGATGAGGCGGTCGAGCTGTGCCGTGGTTGGAAGTTCGCTCCCAGACAGGCAGGAGCGTCGAATACGCTGCTTTGATTGGCCGAATGCCACACTTGCGGCGGGCCACGGAGCCTCGGAGCTGACGGGAGATGCGCGAGACAGGGCTCGGAGAAGAGCAACATCTTGCGTCAACAAGTCCCCAATTGACATTGGCTCCGGACGGATACTTGCCAATGGCAACAGGAGCGCAAGTGCTGAGTCCGGACATGCTCTTTGGCGAGGGTCAAATCTTGGTAAGAAAGCATGGGCTCGTGGGGGCCGGGCCGCGATCCCAAGTGCCTGGGTAGGTACACAGTCCCTTCTCAAATCCAACCGTCGTCCAGTCTCACCGTGAGGCGCATTGCCCTTGGCTACCTTACCTTACCGCTACGCTACCCACAAAGTCAAGGCTGCGATGTTGTGTTCAACAGCTACTTGGAGTTTGGCTTCCGACCTTCGGACGAAGAGCGGATACTCCGAGAGAAGCCGCCTAGATGTCCACTTATCTCGGCTTTTCGCGCGCAAGAACGGGGCGTTGTGATACGGGAGGTAAAACTGGAGACTGGAGCAACGACAAACTGGAGTGCGCGATGCAGATTTTCTGGTGGGGCCGACGAGGGACGCTACGTAAAAAGACGGAGACAGGTTCAGGGAGATTGAGATCCCAAGATTGACAGGATAGATTGATTGGAGTCGCCGGTTGGGGGGACCACGGGGGACACGGAGGGCACTGGAGTCTTGGACACTTGTACATTATTGCAGCCGGTACGTACCCTTTTCGCGTCTGCTCGCCTCGCCGGCGTTTGTTTCTCCCTCGTTGCTTGACGGCCGGGAGAGAGAGTCTTGACCTCAGGTATCAACGGCGTAGAGGTCGTCCGCCACCGCAATTGAAACCTGCTCGAGTAAGGCACACCGGTGTTAAGAAGCAAGGTATTAGTTGGTCTGAAAGAAAGGGAGGTCAACGGAGTGCCGGACGGCGGCTGAGCCTCTCAATCAATTCCTGTACGCCTTCGCAAATTGAGCGCTATGGCGCGTGTTGAATACCTCGGAGGACGGGCCTAGGCTTGACCTGCATTGGATCTGGGCAGCTTGAGAGCTCAAGGAAAAATTCCATGGTTGGACCGACGTTGGGGCCCGGGGGAGCACCCAAGGTAGACTGCCACACTGCAGGGCAACCGGCCGGGAACTGTCTAAGATGGATGGCAGATGTACCTGCAGCGCCAAAACACCTAGCGTCGATACCTCACCCTGCCTGAGAGACAACCCGTATGCCCGCTGAGGTACAGTGGTATTTCCGGCCACACCTGTGACGTGACCCCCCGAGGGCGGCCCCCCGGTCCAAGTGCGCCTTTGCTTCATATTTTTTTCTATCCCATTACCTGCGGCTTTTTTCTTTCCCTCCTTTCCGACCTTCATCCTTCACCAGTTCCTGAAGCCTCACGATACTCTCACAATGTCTGTAGCGCGTCTTTCCACCTCTGCTCTGAGGACTTCCCTCAGAGCCTCCCCTTTCAAGGTCTCGGCTTTCAACGCTGCTCGTTGCTACTCTTCCAAGAACCAGGTAAGCTGCTGCCGCCGCTCGCTGTTGTTTCCCTCCGGCCGTCCGGCCCTTCCTTACCTCGGGTATCGTGAAGCTGACACGTTCGCATCTAGACCTTGAAGGAGCGCTTCGCTGAGCTTCTCCCTGAGAAGATTGAGGAGGTCAAGGCTCTGAGAAAGTGAGTGCATAGCCATTGAGTCCCCTTATCGCAACCTCAACAGCCGCTAACCTCGCCGCCGCAGAGAGCATGGCTCCAAGGTCATCGACAAGGTCACCCTTGACCAGGTCTACGGTGGTGCCCGTGGCATCAAGTGCCTCGTCTGGGAGGGTTCCGTCCTCGACGCCGAGGAGGGTATCCGTTTCCGCGGCAAGACCATTCCCGAGTGCCAGGAGCTCCTCCCCAAGGCTCCCGGTGGCAAGGAGCCCCTTCCTGAGGGTAAGTCTACTTATCGCGACAATTCTCGCAATCAATTCCCTTTGCTAACAAAACTCCAAAGGTCTCTTCTGGCTTCTCCTGACTGGCGAGGTCCCTACCGAGCAGCAGGTCCGCGACCTGTCCGCCGAGTGGGCCGCCCGCTCCGACATCCCCAAGTTCGTCGAGGAGCTGATCGACCACTGCCCTACCGACCTTCACCCCATGGCTCAGTTCTCCCTGGCCGTTACCGCCCTCGAGCACACCTCTTCGTTCGCCAAGGCCTACGCCAAGGGTGTCAACAAGAAGGACTACTGGGGATACACCTTTGAGGACTCCATGGACCTGATTGCCAAGCTGCCCACCATTGCCGCTCGCATCTACCAGAACGTCTTCAAGGGCGGCAAGGTCGCCGCTGTTGAGAAGGACAAGGATTACTCCTTCAACTTCGCCAACCAGCTCGGCTTCGGCAGCAACACCGACTTCGTCGAGCTGCTCCGTCTCTACCTCACCATCCACACTGACCACGAGGGTGGTAACGTCTCTGCCCACACCACCCACTTGGTCGGCAGTGCTCTGTCCTCCCCCTTCCTTTCCGTTGCTGCTGGTCTCAACGGTCTGGCCGGTCCTCTCCACGGTCTGGCCAACCAGGAGGTTCTCAACTGGCTCACTGAGATGAAGAAGTCCGTTGGCGACGACCTCAGCGACAAGGCCATCACCGACTACCTCTGGTCCACCCTCAACGCCGGCCGTGTCGTTCCCGGTTACGGCCACGCCGTCCTCCGCAAGACTGACCCCCGTTACTCTGCTCAGCGCAAGTTCGCCCAGGGTACGTATCCACCATGAATGACAATCCAGATTCGACGTAAGAATGAGAATACTGACAACCCTACAGAGAAGATGCCCAACGACCCCATGTTCCAGCTCGTCTCCCAGGTCTACAAGATCGCCCCCGAGGTCCTTACCCAGCACGGCAAGACCAAGAACCCCTACCCCAACGTCGACGCCCACTCCGGTGTCCTCCTCCAGTACTACGGTCTTACCGAGGCCAACTACTACACCGTCCTCTTCGGTGTTTCCCGCGCCATCGGTGTCCTTCCCCAGCTCATCATCGACCGCGCCCTCGGTGCCCCCATCGAGCGCCCCAAGTCCTTCTCCACTGCCAAGTGGGCCGAGCTTGTCAAGAAGATCTAAACGTGTACGCTTAGAAGAAGATGATGATGGCGGGAGAGAGAAAAAAGGAGACGCGGCTGCGAACGCAAGTAATTTTGCGTGCGCAGGAAAGGCAGCAGGGTCGCATGAGCGATCAACA